GAAGTAATAATAATAACTAGTGGTATTTTTATAAAAAAAGTACAGAAGTAAAATCACTAATTAATTGTTTGAAATAAATAACAGTATTAATAATAAGTGTTTTTTATAATAAGTGCTATTTTTCTAAATTACAGTTAGTGTTTTTATAGAAAAGAGTGGTAAAACTACCAATTAATTTTTAATAATAATAGTAATAATAATAAATTAAAAAAATTAATAATAATAATAATAATAATAATAATAGGATAAGAAAATAATAATTAATATGAAGTAATTATAATAATTAATAAAAAATAATAATAATTATAATAGAGGGAATTTCCTTATTATTTTAGAATGAGTCAAGAATCGACCCACGGTCAGTACGTTCCGGAGCCGGAGCACGTGAGCGTGCACACGGTGAACACCGAGGGTTCGAGTTTCACACCTCCGGGTGACGGGGGGCAAGAGCAGAATCAACCTGAGCCAGCGGGACAGCCACCGGCTGTACCACCGCCAGTCGTACCACCTCCAGTGATGCCACCGTTGGCGATACCGCCGGTGGCCTACGAGCAGATGTTCCCGGCCATGATGGCCCATTATATGCAGCACATGGCGCAGCTTATGCCCATGTTCCAGCCACCGCCACCACCACAGCCGCAGCCGCGTATCGTTACCTTCAAGATGTTGAAGGATAATGGAGCGGAAGAGTTTCGAGGAGACAAGAAGGGGGAGCCCCAGATTGCATTGGATTGGCTTGAGCAGATGGACCGGGTACTCAAGAACTTGAGAGTCCCAGATGCTGATCGCTCGGAGTTGGCGTCACAGATGTTCTGGAAGGGAGCATATGATTGGTGGAAGCGCATTGACCAGGATCCACACACGCCCAAGCCGTGGACCTGGGATCGCTTTGATCGAGCCTTCACGAAGGAGTACGTCCCCACCCGGTACCGCGAGGAGAGGCGCGATGAATTCGTTGCGCTTAAGCAGGAGGGGATGTCACTGCCTGAACTAAGACAGAAGTTCGACTACCTGTCCCAGTATGCGACGAGTCTGGTCTCCACTCCGGAGGATCGTTTGAATGAGTTCGTCAAGAAGCTACGGCCGGACTTGAGGCCGTACGCCGCACTGATCACGACGACAGATTTTAATGCGGCGTACGATTTGATTGTGAAGACGGAAAAGAGCTTGGACGATTTGCAGGCAACCAAGAAAGAGGATCGAGCGACGAAAGGCCCGCGACCCGCGGCCAACACCGGGCCGAGCGGGAAGAGTTTTGGATTCGGGGGAAAGAGGTACGAGAAGGGTTCTTCGAGTGCGCCGCCGCCTAAGAGGAGTAAGTCGAGGCCGTCTCCGTCGGCCGCCGCTAGCAACTCGAACAGAACGAGGAGCCACCCGCAATGTGTACAGTGTGGTAGGCATCACCCGGGCGAGTGTTGGCTCGCCCAAGGCTTATGTTTGGGTTGTGGTCAGCCAGGGCATTTCAGGAGGCATTGCCCGACAAACCCTAGCAGCGAGCCTGTTTTACCTAGAGCTCCGGATCAGCCTGCCGCATCACATCCAGCACGGAGTCAGCAG